CAGAATCAAGTTGAGAAAAAAGGTATGACCATAAGTCAATTTCAAATTCTGTCAAAGAACGGATCAAGAATTTAGTTGATGAAATTTACGAATCTTAGAGAAAATATAATTGATTATTCTATTCATTTCCTTATTCGCTACAGTATTTAATCATTTCATTGATAGAAAGACGAATACTAAATATTTTTACATATAAAATTTTCACATAATATTGTACGTGAAATATATTTAAAAAATATATATCTATAAAATATATATATTAAAAATTTTTTTTTCTACATATAAAACGCATACCTAAAACTTATCATACGAAGAGATGAATCTTTAGAGAAGAAAAAGAAAAGTGGAGAAGATGAAAAAAAAATTACCTTCCTATAAATAGCGTATATGAAATTCTGTAATGCTTTTTTACGATTCTTTTCAATACTGTGCATATGTACAGTGCAATTTTGCCAATACTTTTGAATTGAATACATAATCAATGGTCAGACATATTCTTATTTGCAAATTAGATATAGAAATTAGTTCTTCAATAGCCTACACGATCCCACTGTCAACTTGTCAATTCACTTTTTAAACGAAAAAAAGTAGTATGACAATTCTTATCTTTGAAATAACTTTTGCCAAGCAACCTGAAGATCTTTCAACATCTCCAGAGCATGAATTTCAAAGTTCAGCAAATAAACATATAGAATGAATTTTTTTTTTTGCAAGTAATTTCGGGAATATATTTATCAAAATCAGAATCTCAACTTTCTTTTTTCTCATCAATTCACTAGTACGTAACAAGAACGAAGGATGATGAAAAAAAAAATAGCTTGCATTTGATACCTTAAACTGTCATAATCAAATGCCAGTCTCTCACTTAGCTACAATTTAGCGAGATAAGCAAACTACAAACAGCAATATTTGAAAAAAAAAAACTAATAATTAATATAATAAGGTGCGCAGGATATTAGCACCTGAAAATATCGATTGTTCCTTCAAAATGGTTAAATATTTCAATATTTTGGTACAAAATTGGAATAAAGAATATTTTGCAGCTCATTTCTAGTAAATTTCAATCATTTTTTAAGCTTTTATTCTCGGACAATGAGAAATCTGATGAAAAGCAAACACATGAAAATATTTGTCCTTCTATTAAAATTTAATTAATTCTCATATTGTTTGTGTAATCACCCATTTTACTGAATAGTTAGAATGAGAGTACACTGAAATTCAATGCATGTTTGTTTCCCGGTATCACATTTAACACTCGTGGCAATTTTAATGAATAAATTTCTCTTTTAAAGATTAACTAACTGTTTTATATTTCGATTACCATTTAGTGAATTAAAGTTTTTCGACATCATAATTCAGTAAATTTCATGCTATTTTCAACAAAAACTGAATGAAACACAGCATTGATTTTATTACACAAGGTGCATCGTTTAACTTATTTTTAACTTTCACTTCCAGGAAATCATATTTATCATTTTCATTCAATTTATACAGATGCTTCATGTTGTCGTGCAGCTATAGTTAGTTTTATATCACGGATAAAATTTTCTGGAAATATCACAGTTAGAATTTTCTAGAATTAATGCTGTGAAAAGATCACAGTTAGGATTTTCTGGAAATTATCCTTTGAAATAAACATAAAAAATTTGTAAATAAATATTAGCATATTCCTTATCCCATTTAATACATTATAACGATTTGTATGCTACAGGAAATGGAGTTTCGCTTCTGTTTCTTGGACAACTTATTGGTCAGATGTGGACACTATGATTACATATGATCTTCTTTTAATACTTTGGTAATTAGTTAGTCCAATTGATATTAAGTATGGTAGTAATTATACTTGGCAAATTGTTTAATAGAATACACTATTTTCCACCATGCACATGGCTATCACCTCTTAAATAACAACCAAGGAGATGTCGTGATATATTCGGTTGAGAACGTAAAATAAGGATGCGTATGAATGTAGTTGTCCTTGACTCATTTTATAGCTTTTCTTATTTTTGATAAATTTTGGAAGAAATTATAAATTATAATACTCTCAGCTGCAACTGCTTATCTTGATTTTCAACTTTCTAATTTTAGCTCACTTTTCATCAATTCTATGACTTTCTACTGTCTCATTTCAGACTATCCATGATTTCATTCATTTATGTCTTTTCTTTTAAGATTTACTTTTGAAAAATTTCAATTTTATTTATAAATTAAATATTTACCCTTCTTTCAAATAATATACAGAAAGTATTACCAGAAATTTTTAGATTTGTTTTTCTTGCTAATATGTGACAGGTTTATCAACCACTTTGGTGATGAGTTACCTCGAAATGTTTTACACCAAGCAAATCCTTTCAAACTTTTAGCTGAAAATTTTCGGAATTCTTTAATGAAATTTCTAATATCGTGAAAACAACTGCATTGCAGTGTTTTTGCAGCGTTTACTGCAATGCAGTTGTTTTCACGATATTAGAAATTTCTAAGAAAAAATAAAATGAACAAAAAAAAAGAACGGAAATTCTAAGAAAAGTAAAATGAACAAAAATTTTTTTCCTTTTTTATGAAAAATCACAAAATATTTATTTATATCCAAATTTTGCAGCTAATTCAAGAAATGCCACAATTAACTGGATTTCCTATTGTATCCAATTTTTTTGGAAGAAATATCTCAATAACATAAGTGTAGAATATTGAAAATGCTAGTTCTTTATGTAAAAATTAATTCGTACTGTCCTAAGTACTCATCTTTTCATGTCATATTAAGATTTTACAATGGTCACATTAAGCTTTAACATTAAATATATTATTATATATTCAACCATTTTACAATATGCCTCTTGGAGAAGTTATTATGCTAATTTCAGTGATTTCTAATTATATGGTACTAAAACTAAAATTTAGGTAAATCCGATAAAAGTAACCTAAATTTGATAAGATTCTTAGCAAACGCTTGACCGACTTTTCAATAAAAAAGAGACTGATACACAATGGAGATAGAAAGAACTGACAGAGAATAGGAGAGAACTCCGTCCATGTATCAACGATATGTTTCAACTTATCGCTACAATACGATGAGAATAAATGCACATGTAGGGAGAGCAAAGCAACAACGCATTGTTGATATCGCTTACAACTCCTCTGGTTATAATATTAAACATATCACTGATAGATATTCTGTGTATTTACGATTCTCGATGATTTAACCATAGATTTTTTCTCGTGTGCTTTTTTTCGAATGGAACACTTATCTTCCATTGAGAAATATTCTCGATAACCATATTAACCAATCTTATCAATTCGTAAATCACTCAAGTCGGAAAATTCTTTCTGAAAGAATTTTGATCTCGCTTCGATGATTGAAAAGATTTATTTTTAATAGATCTTTTTAAATAATGAACACGAATTTGAAATGTAAATGAAGTAACAGGAAAAAAATTAATAATAAGGAGAGTTTAAGAATTCTCTGATATTTTCTAAAAAGGCACTTTTTCACAACATCTGAAATCTAATACTGTCAACAAGTGTTCCCAAGTTGTCTACATATTATATCTTGGGAAAGAAACTCTGCGCACTAAAAATTAGGTCTTTTTCAAAGTATCAATCGCAATAGGCTTTTTCTTAACAAACAGCAAAAAAACTGCATTGATTTTGTGGCTTTGTGTATTAGTGTTGATCACCTTTAAATGAAAAATGGCATCAATGAAATGAGAAGATTCATTTCACATTCCGATGTGCCTCGATGTACTCCATGTAGTTTTTATTTTTTGTTCCTATAGAAACGGATATGACAAATCAACAAGATACGCACATCAGCCATGTCCCACTTCACGACTTACAGTTTTTTAATATCAAGATGTGAAACCCTCTGGATAGCTTGCACAACCGACAATAAATGAATATTTTGTAGTCTGTTAAATTAAAATTAAAATTGTTTGTGCTTTTTTTCCTACTACAGTACTAACTCTCTTTTTAACCATTTTAGACGAAAAATTAAGTTAGAAATAAATATTAATCTAAATGAACCTCTTCCATTGTTTTGATGCTGAACTCAGAAATGCTTTTATTGAATATTTGCAGAAATCAATTCTTCCTTTTTTAAATTATATATGCGGAACAGATATTCCTAATTAAAATGTTCTCAGAATGAAATATGAATATTCATTAGCATGTGTTCTATACCAGAGCCTCTTCACATTTCACAAAATCATTAAAATTATTTAAAAATACTTGCATGAATATCTTGTTTCCCGACAACATTCGAATTTATTCTTACCAAACAAGGAATTTTATAAAAGTGTTGAAATTTTTAATTTAATTAAATGTGTATCATCATAATTCATGCTAACAGTTGCGAAAGAAAAAGTTTTCAAATTTAAAAAATCTTTAAAATCAGTTTTTCATCAGCAAGGCAAAAGTTTAACAATAATTACTGAACCTATGATTATTTCTCTAGCAACTCGTTTCTTGTTAATTACTGAGTTTTGGTTTAAATAACAATGGGGATACAAAGTTGTCAAAATAATCCAAGTTTTCAGAGGATTTCTTATTTTATATCATACAGTAATTCTTGAAATATTTTATTCACTTCTCATTTACATCCGTTCATCTTGCTAATCAATTAATTTCATCTTTTTGCTTTATTAAGCAATGAATGTAAAAAGATATATATTTATGATATTTGAACTTTTCTTTAACCATACAATTGTAGGTATCTATCTTTAAAATTGATTATGGAATGCAATTTTTGAAATTCGTTGTGTGTTTTTTGTGTATTATTGCATGACTAAACTAATGATAAATAACGTGGCGAATTTCAATATTGTCAAATAGTAAGGATGATAAAAATCAATCTTTATAAGAAATGACTCGGATCGGGCCAAAATCCGTCAGTCGACAGCAATAGGAGGAACATATTGTTGAGTAATGACGTTATATGAATGATAAATAATTGCATCCGTTAATATGAAGCGTTCTAAACTTCATCTTAAAGGTGAAATAAACAAATGGATTTGGATGTAACAACGTGTGGCGAAGGCTCAGGCACAACAGCGCCTGCAATACGAACCAAACGAGTGCGTCATAAATGGACATCTGCATTTCGCGTCATGCAGTCATTGCATCGTTTGAAGAATCCACCTATTGGCGCAAAATCTGAGGTTTGTCTTTTTATTTTGGAGTGAAACGAATATTCAGTAATAAGGATAAGTACTGGAGAAGAAGGCAAATAAAATGTCATCCTTTTTTAAATTCTTTCGTTTTCCCATCCCTCGTGATAACTCAGTCAGCCGCAGGTAGTCGTCCCGATCAATGCACTTTTCAACTTTCTAATATCTTCAAAATGTGCTTATAAAGAGTGAGCAGTGAAATAAAAATTCTTCACTATTAATAAATTGGCCCTCTCCTATCTTTCGTGTTTGCTCGTTTTATTGACTAAAACGAACAGTATAGCATTAGTTGAAATATCTCAGTGGTAACGTCTAACTTAGCTCAATTATTTGTTCTATCTAAGGATATCAGTAGTCAGGTAGTTCAGTCTGTACATATCACATTCATTCTTTTGAAATCATACAACTGATGAAGGATTGTTGCTGCAAGCTACTGGAAGCAATGATCTACTAGAATGTTCGGTATTTTTTTCTTTTTAAAAATTCAATCTAAAACCTAATTTTCAGAAACACAACTATCACTTCGTTGAATCAACACCTTCCAGAGGTTTTTGTTTCTTTTATTCCTCTTATAATGAATTTATTCTTTAAATACTAATTTATCAAATGTATCTCTTTTATGTACCTCCATAACAGCTGCTTAAAAGACGTACTTTAGAGTAATAAATTGTAAGCAATATGTTTCTGGAAATTTTGAACAAGCTTGACGTACATTTATGGTCGAGAAAAGTTATCAGTCTAGCAAACAAGTAATAACTCTGAAATGTATTATGAATGGGTGAGTGAAAACACGGCTTTTCCTTCTCATGCTATCACATTCTAATAGCAGTAAAGAATTCATGCTCAAAACAACCGTAATTAAAAGACCTATCAAATATAGGTTGAAAAGCTATCATTAGGTAGCAATGAGCCAATAAATGGTGATTATAAAAGAGATAACAGTGTGAATATAACTTCCTTCATCTTCCATGGATTTATTTGCAACTATTCTAACATATACTAAACCATTTAAACAAATGCTTAACTTAGTCATTGATAATTCTAAGCTTTATCTAGGAAAAGCAAATATCTACAATGTTGTAAGTAAACAGCAATAAACCTGGGAACGTCTAAAAATATCAGATTCGCCATTTATAGTTATGAAAATAACATACATTTTCCACTTCATTTTCCTTCTTATTGAGTTTAAGTAAAGCCAATTCAAGTGTATCAATCAGCTGAATACAGCTTATCCAAATAAAGCATGGATGTGATATTGCTAGTGGGCAGTCCTGTCAGCCATGAAAAAAGGAAGTCTATAACACACAGATTTCCGAAAAAATTATAGATTCTGCCCGATTATTCTCTCATTTCAGAGCATGAATATGCAACAGCTCTCAGTTTTTTTTTTGCCTTTTCTTTTTACTAACCTGTAAAATTAGATCTTTAAGAAAGTTAATTGGAAGTAAGTCCTGAAAAATAATTAACAAAGCACAGAAGTAAAATTTATTCCCACGATTTAAAGAAGTTATTTGACGCTTAGAAAAGGCAGCATTAATAGGCGGTTTGATACTATGCTAAATATCAATATTGATATTAATAATTTTGCTTGTAAATTACTTATTAAAACATGTCGCTTTTTGCACATCTTGCGACGCTTCATGGTAAATTTATCATGAAGAATTTCAACAAATTTTAAAATACCATTACATTTTTTGCTCTTTTAAAATACCATTGCAAATTTTAAAATACAATTGCATTTTTATATTTGCTATTAACTTCGTTTTCTTTCCTCTCTTTTCGTTTTTTCTCAAACTTTATTAACTAGAAGGAGTTGTTTAAGAAGATATGACTTTTTTTCTATATATGACAACTTTCACTCTTGTCGAAACTTTTTATTTTTCAAAGTTAATTGCAAATAATTCTTAGCAATTTTAATTTAACTTAGCATGTTACTTATATATTTTGTTTTTTTTTAAAGCGTTAAAAAAGGAAGGTATAAATGCGAAATACATCGTTTCGAATGACATGTTGACCTGCAATTATTGCAGGCTTAAGTGATGTAAAGAAACATGACCTATGAAATTTAATTTGAGGACAGTATGTTACTTAACAATGCTGTAAGATAATTTTGAAGTGTAAAAATATTTTCTTAAGTTGGCTACTAAGATTATTAAAGAATGAGGTTAGCAAGACCCAATATTTTTAAACTGGTACTTTTTTTTAAAGAAAGATACAACTTATTACCTGAATGAAAAATGCAATTTATTGGTTCACTTTAAAGCTTAGTTAAAGCTTGGTTAAGTGATTCTGTATAATTCTGTGAGTTGAAAAAATTCAATTCTTTTATTTTTCTTATTGGTTATTCAATTCTTATGTTGCACTATTTTATTTATTTCATTTTCAATAGTAGTTTGCTTTTTTTTCCTCTTCATGCATCAGATTTCAATATTTGAGAATTATTCGGTACAAAAGGAGCAAAATAAAACAAGTTGTATATTCAATGCTCAGTGTAAATTTTTACTCATTTCATATTCTCGACAATGATTTTTACTTATCTTCCATTGGAATATTTGTTATTTTTTTGTACTAATCATATCATCAACTGAGCATATTGGAAAACAGCCTTATGAATACTTTTAAAGATTTCTAACATACGCAAGACCGTCAAATCCTTCAGATTATTCTTCACACTTGGGTTTAGATCATTCACTATACTTTAGATTGAAAAGCATTAGGGGCAAAGAATATGACAGAGCATCAAGATAATAAATTTCATTAAAATGGTTTGGTTAGTTGTAGCTGCAATAGGTGGCTACTCTTTGGTCCAATTGGAAGCATGTCTACTAGAATTTGAAATGAAAAACGGTAACAATATGAAGTGAAATCCATATTTTGCTAGTTTTGAGAACTGAAAGTGCATCATCTTCAAAACACATAAAATTGCTTTTCCATTTTTTCTTTTCTTTTTCAATTATATCACTCATTTATGTTTAGCATTTATTATTAATTACGAAGAAAAACACAATCATAAATTATAAATAATCAATTAGGAAGAAAAACACAATCATAAATTACAACTGTTAATTTTTAAAAGTACTCGATTGATTACAAAAGCTTATGGCAATTTCGGGATTTAGATCGTAGAACAATTGGAATATCGGAGGATAGATTATTAAATGAATAGCTGAAATCAGTTATCAAAAATTTAATGATTTTTGATTAATTTCTAAAAATACTTTGCAGAATGATTAATTCATTTTATGACATATTAAAAATAATACTTTTCAAAGACATATTTACTGGTATGCATAGATTAAACTGAAACAAAATACGGATTAATTTTGGAGTGTGCATCATTTTACTTGATAAATATCAAAAGTTCATTAGTGCTTTATCCAGTCTCCAAACTTTCATTTTCCTTTTTTTTCATTCCTTTAATTTACAGTAAAGTGAGAAAATGTTTTTTTCAAACTCCCAGTGGGACTGGTTTGTAATTAGTGAGAGTGAGAAATTGCGTGAATAAGTAGGAGATAGAAGCAAAGATTTTTTTAAGAAAGGAATGGATCTTGAAGTGACTTCTTTCTGAGAGACGTATAAAAAAGTTAATGAATTTACATCAGTGCTTGATAATATTTTGTAAATTTGTTTATGATAAGATTTAGTATTTTTGAGTCTGTTTTTTTAGTTAAATGTATTATAACACATTTTAACAAAAGAAAATGAGCGAGTAGTTATGCAGTTTGCAGTAAAATTCATTGCCAGTGTTTACTTAACTGATTTTGAAATAGCTTGATTTGAAAAAAAAGCTGCTTTGATCTCTTAACTTTCGTAATTTTAAATCATTTCTTGAATACAAAATTTAACTTTCTAGTTATCCAGGTGATAATTCGAAACACAGGTACGTTACTCAAAGGTGTGTCAGATAATTTTGTTGAAAAAGACCAAAATTTTTATAAATGATTAATAATCAAGAGAGATTAATATATTTTTAAATTCAAAATCTATTATTAAGAAAAGAGATACCAACTTCTATTAAAATCAGTTTTCATCTGGTTATTTATTTAACCTGATCATGTTTGCAAATATATGAATTTAAAACAGATGCAGTAGATCCGGTTTACTTGGCATTGAAACAAGCCACTGGTATCTACGGTCGACGAGGTTCATCAACGCAGAATTTTGATTCAGCTACACCATCACCTCGCAATTTATCAGAGGCTTCTTTACAAGATTCCGGATACGCCGAAGCAAGTTGTAATCGTGGTGTTATGATTAGTTCAACACCTCAACTGGATCAATCGGGTACTTTGACTTTAAAGTTTTATTCTTATATACATTTCAAGTTTATTGGGAAAAATTAATTTAAAAACTGTTAAATTGAGTCTTGCTTTTTTTTCAATCTTAAAGTCATTTTTTCGATATTTCAAATTCGGTTTGAAATGAATATTTTTGACTTCTCAATGTTAATTTCAAATTCATGTTTCTTTGCAGAGATTTTACTACAACTTTTAAAAAAGATAAGCAATGATTAGCAAAAACTAGTTTTTTTTTAATGTTAAGCTGAGTGATGAAAAAGTTTTGAGAAGATAAAGAGATATTGTAAGATAACGGAGAGAAAACTAAATTGAAAGAGGAAGAAGGAGTGAATAAAAAAGATGAACAGAATAAAAGTTATTGGTAAAAAAGGTAAAGTTAATCTATAGATTGTAGCTTTTGCAAAAGTTTTTTTGTTGTCAGAAATTCGCCTGATAAACTGAAGAGCGCATAAAATGACAAATTTCTTGACAATGAAATACTTGAGATCACTTTGTTATTACGAGCCTCTTTGAGTCCATTCCTCAAACACATCATTATAAATGTAGTTTCTCCTATTTTTTAGAAATAAATTTTAATTCTCAGCTAATATTCAAATTAATATTAGTTTGCTTGTCTATCACAATGACAGTGGAAGTATTGAAATGAAAATTTAAATATTGTAAGGAAAAAAATTTGATTTGAAAGGAAGAAAAACGAAAAGACGAAAGACGAACAGAGTAATATGAAAAGTGATGTCAAAAAAGAATGAGGAAGTTTTAGAAACAACCAAGCATGACAATCAACCTTTCAAATTGATTATTTTATTATTATCTTTCCTTCCATTTTTATTCAAAACTGGCTCTATTTTATTTGTACTGATATCATTTAATAATTGATTGCTTAATTTTGTTATAAGTTCATTCCACATTTTCTCAACACATTTTCATCTCTTTATTTTTGATGGGAAAAATTTTTGAATTTTGAAGATTAATTTCTTCTATAAAAAATTCTCGAAATTTCTCGAAAAGAACAGCAAAAATTCTCGAAATTTCCCCATTAAATTGCAAATCCTCCGTTTAGCTAAATTGCATTCAGGTCGAATAAAAATTTTTCCTATAAGTGAATTAATGTATCCAGTAAAATATATTTATTTCATTCGAAATTATCAGGATTAATTCAATTAATTTCCGAAACTGTTGCTTCTGAAAAAAAAAGGATTCATTCGAATAAAAAGAGATTGCGAATAAAGCGATTTCTTCATGCAACATTAATGTATTATTCCGAAATATGCAATATATCGCCAACAAGTTGTCTATGATCAGTCCTTCTTAAAAATATCTTTAAAATATTATTCTCTAAAATTTTTCAAAAATCTGGTTACGGTTGGAGTCAAAATTTGTTCATAGGTATGAATGGAGGGAAGCGGCGTCCGCCCAAGTTGCAGAAACAAATGAAATCATTATCACTGGACTGTGCCGACTCACCACCTTCCATTACAAGTGGTGTATATTCAAGTAAGTCTAAAAGAAATTTTAGAAAATCCCTTCAAATAATTCAAATAAAATTTTTGTTATATTAATATAGCATATTCGTCATATGCAAATGCAATATTCTGTTCAAAGACAGCATCACTTATTTGAAAGCAAAAATCTCGAAAATCATAAAAGATTATTTTAAAGTGAAATTTAGTGGGAAATGAAGAAAATTTTGTTTAAACGAAATCCTAAATTTACGCTATTTTAATAGTGCTGATAAGGAAAACATCACAGTAACATCTTGTTTCTCAAAATTTTTATTGAAAATAAATGTCGACATAACAAAAATTTTAATTTCGGAAAAATTTGGGCATTTCAATTTTATTTAATTTTTTTGTAAATTAGGAATGGAATTACTGATTGAATTGAAAAAGTTTTTTAAAATTATATTGAAAGATGATCGTAGGTGCGTTGCGATCACAAATATCCCATAAGCATAGTAATATCTGCGGCAAGAAGCCATATGAATTAGAAGTTCAATCTCTACGCCTAGTCAGGAACTGCGGTTAGTACCCATCGAAGGTAAAGGAACAAAATGTTTGCATGTCGCATCTTCATTTTTGCAAGCATGAATTCATTTTTTGTTGTTTGCTTCCGCAAACCTTATAGCGGGGAGAGTGTAATTTAGCAATTCTCAATTATTTCTAATTTTTATTTATCTGCTCTTTCTTTTTGCAGTATTAAGAGTAACTCTTCATGTTGCACCATACAGGTCATCTATAATTTTCCAAAACACTTCTTATTTTTGATTAAACTTGTGATTTAAAAAAAAAGAAGCAAGAAAGATATCCGTTACTTGCTCGATACATAAAATTATCCTTGCTTGATTTTCGTTTTGCTTGATAAGCAAAAATGAAATATTGTCTCAACCGTTCTATTCTCTTAGTTGATTATTCAAATTTTGCAATAATATTTAGGAGGTAAATTAGCACCGACACTGTTAAATTACAATAATAGTTACGGGGACATATCAGAATGCGAACGAAGTCGATCATCGTCAGGACCATCTCCTCGCTTAACTCCACGTCGTATTAGCTCTTCAGATGGTATATTTTTCAAATAATGTTTGCAAAATTCTATTTTAATCATTTCTCCTTTCAAATTTTATAATTTGGTACTCTAACGGTGTCCATCATTTGCAGTTCTACAAGGATCTCATGTGGTCATTCATGAATATGTAGCTGGACCTGATACAGCCTTATGTTTAGGTGATCGATTGAAAGTCGTTGATAACGGAGATCCTGACTGGCTTTATGGTTTTAAGGTTTTCATTTTATTTCAACAAATATTTATGAATTTTTTCCAGAATTTAAGGATTTTTGTAATTTTTTCAAAACTTAAGTTTTCTAATCACTTTAAAGATTTTTTTATAATAACTGTGATATGATTTATAGACAGGTGATCGAGTAGATCGGCTGATGTCATTTCCAAGTACTTGTGTTGCACTGGTACAACATGGTGAGCAGCCAATGTTGCTCAAACAAAACGTTCATATACCTGAGGCCAAAATGAGACTTTATCGTGACCAGGTAAGCTCAAAACTTCATTGATCATTTAAGTAAATTTAAAAGTCTTTAATTTTTTGATGAAATTTTGTTTATAAATGTATTAATAATTTTAGGTAGTATTTGCGCAACCTGATTCAATCATGGCCGGACGAGTATTGGTACGTACAGAACGTCATGCTTTTGTTCAGTGTCCTTTGCAGCACTTGCTCTTATTGTGATGCCACAGTACGCTGCTTGAATTACTATCAATCATTAATGCTGTTGTATTAAATGCCAAAGGTCATTAACCAACTTGTAATAAATAGGTGATGAGGATATTCATTAAGCGCTTCTCATATGAAACATTTTTTTTTTTTTATTATCAATTTCGTAGTGCAAAATGTGTTCATAATATTTTTGATGATTACATTTTTAACGCAAAATTTTTTCTGGCTATTCTTTTAAAAAATATGAAAAATAATTTTAAAAAAATATGAAAAAAATAACTTTTAAAAAATATGAAAAATAATTAATATTGATACCGGAAATAGAAAACACTGTGATAATTCTGTTCACTATCCTTTCTGACACAGCCTGACTGATTGAAATCGTTTTCAAATTCAATCAGTAGAAAACCTTTATACTTAATTTATGTCGTTAAAATTCATCTACCATTTATTGCTACTACTCTAGAAATATTGATACCATTTCAAAATTGATGAAATTTAAAAGAAACTGAAATATCAGATTACATGTATTGCCTAAAGGAAATGTTCCAATATATAATATCATTTTACGAGTACTGAACTATTACTGTTTGATGTGTTGTTCTGAGTTATTACAATTTTGAATTTTACGGCATTTATTGAATATTCTTTCATCCTTTCATCAATATCATCTTTATAACTTCAACTTTTTTACTGGCATATTCATGCAATGTAAGTATATTATAGACTATCATATAACCTTCAACTTTATCTGACACATTTTCACGTCTTTCGGATGTTTTCTGAAATTCAATTTAGTAATATTAATAAAACATGCTAATGTATGGTTCCACATTTCTGGAATACGTCATCTGACTGCTATTCACTGTGCTAAAAAAATTATTTCCTTTAACTGTATACAATCAGCGATGCTATCTGAGAATATCCGAAAAGAAAGAAGCAATTAATGATTAAATACTGTACAATTTCAGAATGATGAAGTCTTTTAACTCGTCCTTTACCATTTCCATGTATTCGCATACTCGTCGAACTCTTTTCGACATAGAATTTTAAATCTTCGTTACTTCATCAAACGACTTCTACTGCAATTATTCTCATTCATCAGAGAACTGTTATGAACTACAATACATAATTGATATAACATTCGCTTATGGTAAGCTTTGAGCAAACTGAGATTTTGGATTTTCTTTTATAATTTGAAAAGAAAATTGGTAGTGTATAGAAATCAGAAAAGACATATTTCTAGTAAATTGAAAGAAGAAGCGAAAAATCATTAAATGCTCGGTTAATCGTCGGCTAATGAGGCTAACAATAAAGTTTATGAAAAGTCAAAGATGATACACAGAGAATACTAAAGCGACGCTGAGTGGAGGTCATTGTGTTGTTCTTAATTCGATAAAATTTAGCATGAAAGCAAGGACTAATAAAAAATCCCCTTATATATTTATTTAAAAGAAAAGTTTTAAACTTTTTAGCAATTATTAAGATACAGTTAGAAAAATTAAAACATACTAAATTTTATCGAATTGACTTTTACATAACTAACTGTGAGCTCTTATTCATTACAAAAAATTTATTAAAATGCACACAGTCAGCCTAATTTTTTCCACATATCTTACTAAATTTTTGAGAAATATTAAAAACTTCCCTTCAAAATTTTTTAGAGGTCTTAAGTATAAAAAACTTGCCTCATGTATTTATCAACTACTTTTTGCATTATCGATCATATTTCCAACAACATTTTTGAGTTACTTCATTGCCGGAAATCTCACTGATAATTTCCAGCGGGCGATAAAATTCGGACATTTACCAAAATGTTACTTTTTTATCCTACCCTGCTTTAAATAACTATTGAACTCAGGAAGGTGCTTGAGTACCTTATGCTTAATGTTAATGTACTTAAAATTAAACATATTCATATTGTAAGATATCAATGATTACTATTTGAATCGGTTTAAAATATTTTAGTGTTATCAGTTACAATTGGAATTAGATGTAAGAATGTGGACTCAGTTCTTGCACAGTTAATCAATTTATCAGTCTTAAATAAATTTACACAAAAAAGCAAATTTTTTATTGACCACTGCTAATTATGGGAATGTATTAAGTGCATTATTGCACTGTAGAAAAGTTAAGTTTGCTTTAAATTTTGCAAAGATAATCATAACTGATATATTATTATCTGTATCCAAAATTCAGCTTACAATGAATTGATTATTCCTACTTATCTCAGTAACTAATTTTATCAGGTATTAAATGTTAATTATTAATTTTTGCACAATGTGTCGTGCAAAGAGTTGGAATCTTTTTTGAGAAAAAAGAGATAAACACGCGTTTCTTGCAATAAATTTATGCACGTACCTATCAGTGATCTTCAAAATGCAATAAAAAGTAGATCTGGCGGTAAATGTCCTACAAGTTTTTTGATATAAAGGAACTAGTGAGCATTAGATAGGTCTGCGTATGCCTTCCATTCCAACTTACAAGCTTCTAATTACTGTGTAAAATTTTTTAGTTCAGCTCCTTAAATAGTAGTACAGTATCGGTTTGTCATTACTATACAAATGCTATTTTAGTTAGTGTTAAGGAGAAATCTCGATAGCTGAAATACCATTGTTTTTAAAAGCAGTCCGTGATGAATATAGCGGAGTATCTTTCATCCAGTCATCCGGATGATCTGCGATATCGTTTGAGTATTGCATACGCTGTGCGCAATTTAGAGCAACAACAAAGTCAGGTCAAATTACATTTTAATAACAAATTATTTATTATTTATTATCAAATTAGTGCTTCTACATCAAAATTTGATGTAGCTGTTGTTATAAAGATATTTGGGAAAGTAGTGAATTCCTAACTTTCAGTATTTTGGAGACCTAAAGCTGTTTCATTCGGTCTCTCTGATTCCTGCGCAAACGACTTTTTTTTGCACAGTTATGTAACGAACTAGCATTCGCATAATTAGACAGATAAATCTAACTCTAGAAACATTAAATTGTTTTATTCTCCTGGTAATTTGAAAGATCAAAATGTTGCTGTGAACTTTTTAAGCTGACGGAGTATACCGTTTTTTAGACAGATGAGAATGTTGTGAGTTTAAGATGTACTGATTTATGGAAATGTTAAGCAGTTGTCCATATTTGACCATTTTTTGCCATTGAATATGCGATATTTAGGCTGTTTAATTTCGTAATATTTTTATCCTGATAATAAGCTATATCTGCTGTGATATTTGCAGTTGGGTAAATCTGCATGGACAGTATTCCAAGATCTAATTAGTAATTCATGTGTTTCTCGAGAAAAATGAATAGCTTGTTTGTTAGTTCATTACAGTGGCTTTCTCTACAGTCTTTAACCAAGCCTTTATTAGATAAATTAGCTTTTTTTATTAAATAAAATATTAGATAAATTAGAAAACCATGTTTTTTTTTACAAGTGGACAACCTTTAAGTTACCTGAAAAATTAAATTTTTATCACTTGTAAGAATTTTGAATGGTACGATAAACATTTCAGCTAGTGACAAGTGTTGATGGGAATCAGCTTTCCGCGCCATGGAGGAGTGATGAAAAATTTGTCCGACGTTTTCTAATATTCGGCAACTCTGATGGTATTTATTTTGCAAGGCAAACGGAATTCACATGTACTTTAGAGCCCGGCTTATGCCGCATTATTCAATCAGGTTGATCATTCTGCAAAGTTTTTCTTTTTTAAATAGTTCAAAATAAAGGTTTAAGTTATTGCTAATAATTACCAAACGCTAATGCATTTGAAAATCGTTAAGAAATATCTGTCTTATCCTTTTCCGTATTCATTATATTTAATGTCTCATCGTTTTATGTTGTTTGATAAGTGATTTTTTGAGTTTTCAGGATCCCTTACCATTTTGTTATGTCTTGTTTTAGGTAAAGGGTTAATGATTTTGCGACAAATTTTGGAAGTTTCGATAACAAACCTTGCTACGAATACAGAACCACTGCTTATTGCTTTAGCGCTTTGCGCACGTTACAAGGCTTGTTTTACTTGCAAATAAATTCTAGAAGGAATTTTTTTACCACGCTTTTTTTACTTTTTACCATGCTTACTTTAAATGAATGATCAAAACTGGTAAAATATTGGAAATCTTTTCCGAATTAGGTCCATGATACTCAAAGCAAAAAGAAATTACCATGGGACACTACGGAAGAACGAGAAAAATTATTGCCAGATGCTATCTGTCGAGATATTAGACCGGTTATGGAAAAGAATTACCAGGCATGCCTTCAGAAATCAGCCCTTTTTGCTGTGCACAAGGTTGGCTGTTTGATAATTTGATCTAACTGAATAAATTCTTGAATAAAATTGAGTTAATTATACATTTTAATATAATTTTGGTGCTCTTTATACATACGAAGTGTCTGGCGTTACACTGCATATCATTATTTTCTAAAATCGCTTGCTGTATTCGTATCAAAGAATCACTGGTTATTTTGAGAGAACAAAGGATTATGTTTGCTGTCCATTAGATTAGCTTTCACTTTGTTCATTAACCGATCCTCCGTTGAAAACTTCTTACCTACACCTACGTGCAAAAAATCTTCCATCACCCTTTAATATATAGAGTTTTTTGATAAATAACTGTTTCCAGATTTAAAACTTAGAAAACGAGTCAGAAACCTAAATGATTGTCTTTCTTTATAAAACGGTAGTCAATAGTTGGAAATAGATTAAAGAAATATGCTAATAAATTAAAGAAAAATGAAGCTTATTGAAGATGTACACAGGTATGTGCTACAGCCACCGATTTATTCAAGTTTATCGAGTACTGCAAAGTGGTGTCAAGACAAAGTGGACTTAAGAAAGATTCTAATGGTTGGGGGCGTGCATTGCGTGCAACTGTTATCAAATGGTTTGTGTTCTTGCTTTCTCTATTACTATTACGGCCTGGCATTTTTAAGCCTTAGCATTTTTGTCATCTTTTTTTTTGCGCTTACTTCTATCGTTCAAAAACAATTTTGCTGCATATTACAGATATTTGTAAATCATTTTTGCTTTTTCTGACTTTTCGTATTTCATTCAGTATATTTTGATAATTCCGATATAATGATCCCCTAGTACTGTTTCTAATTAGCAAATTCATAAATATATTTATAAGAAGCATGAAAAACACTACATATTTTTAGGTATTACAATCATACTCCAAATCATCTTGCAGTCATGGTAACTAAGTATCGTCATCGTGTAAGCTATTCGCATCGCGATCTATTTTGCCTAAGCCATATCCATCCAAAGCAAAGTTTTCCCTCCGAACAGAACTATTGGCAACATCAAAAGGGTTATGAAGATATTTTCAAACATGTTACCAGAGGTTACAGAGGTACTTATTGCTTTTTAAATTACTTGACAGCATTTTGCACAAAAGTAATTTAGGTCTATAAAGATAAATGAAAGTTTTAAGACCAATTGGAACAGATATGCGAAAAATTTGACAGAAAAAAAAGAAATAGCACAGTTTTGCTATATATGTTATGTGTTTAACATTTTTTATCGAATATGGATGCTTTCTAATCAAAAATATTGATAGAAATGCTTAAATTATAAAAAATTTCTTTCCACAGTTGCATAATTTCATAAAATGCATTATTCATATTAATCTTTGAGGTAAGAAATATTGCATTAACTTTGTGTTCCTTTTTTTGACTAATCCAAGTATTGAAAATTTTTAACAACAATGACTAAGGTGGTGAAAAGGAAGAAAAAGAAAGAAAACGACGAAAAGAATTATCACCGAAAAGAAAATCCAAGCGAGGTCGTTCAGATCCAGAAGAAGAGGAACGAGTGAGACAAAATTTAGAAGAGCTAAATTTGAGACGAACTGAAGAGAGGGAAGCTTCTGCAGACGGAAAATTTAATCCAGTCATAGATGCAGCTGCATATATTAAAGCTTTCAATAAGCTTCAAGCTTTAGCACCTGAAAATATAAACGAGGCCATTACACTCATTCTTCAGTATGGCAAGTTTTGTTAAATCAGTTTTTCACGCCTAATTTTTGGTTTCTTTATGGAACATATGTTCCTTTTTTTAAATTAAGCTTCATTTGTTATTTTAACAAGCACTTCTGTAATTACGATAAATACAGAGGAATACAGAAGGCAATATTTTGTATGACAATTTTCTCTTGGGAACTGTGATGAAAGTGATAAATATTCCTTGTTATCACTATTTCTGAAACCAGTAAGTGGCCAAAACGAGAAAAATTAGTTAGAAAGAAGTTATCAGCAAACTTGTGTTAAACAAAAGTTGCAAGGGCTGCTGTGTGAACTGTTATCGTCTTGAGGTTTTGAACAAGAACATGTTCCGCAGAAATTACTCAGTTCTAAGGAAGTTTGGGGTGCTTTGCTGAGAAGGATGTCATTGCGTACAATGTTGAAAAATATGGGCAAAATGAGCGGCATTGACCTTTTTGAAGAAGGTGTCAGTGTGTAAGAACTTTGGCCATTCAATTCCTTTCTGATTTTTTAATCTATGTTTGAAATTTGCAATTTGACATTTTTTCTAAAATTTTAATTTGTCAAATATGCGTATTTTTAGGTTACAGTTTTGTTGGTAAAATTAAACGGCTATTTGAGAAAGATAATTAATAAAAGTTTGGCAATATTGCTCTCATATTTTACAAAATATTTAATTTCAGTTTCAATCATCTCAGTTGCATATTGGGCAACATTTCATCATTTTTTTACGACGATTGCGAAAAGTACACGAACTTTATAAAGTAATTGTGCAGAAAATGTTTAAGTTAACCAAACAGTTTTCTATACTTTTTCGATTCAGAGCACATGAATTCATACGACGAATGATGAAATTTGATTACATTCAGCGAACAACTAAAGATTAAAAATGAAATCTGTCAGTTCAAATGAAAATTGTTTTAGTGATAATCCAGTATCTTTGGTTGCCAGAACACTGACTGATCCTGAGAAGTTGTGGGAAGAACAACTTGATCCACTTGCAATACTGATAGCCAAAACAAATTATGAACATGGGCATGAAATGAAAAGGAATCGGATATGGAAACCAGTTATTGAGATTCGAAATGCGTTTGATAAGGCATTTTACAATTGCATGAATGCTGTTGGGGCGACTAACAGACGATATCTTATAGCAGTAGATATTTCGGGTTCGTTGCTTCATTTTTCAAAACATTTTTTAAAAACATTTAACTCAAATAAATCAAGTTTTCAACATCAAATATATTAGAATTCGGCTTTCAATCAATTCTAATAGCTATAATTGCAGATAGCATGGATAGTTTTATGCAGGGTACAACAGTAGCTTGTAGTCAAGTAGCAGCCGCGCTGTCAATGGCATTCATTTACAATGAAACCGATGTAAGTCAGTTGGAATTCTGTGATGCAGAAACCAACTTGTTTTTTTTTTTTTGCAAATTTATTGATTTGTTTTTGCAAGTCTTGTTTTAAAATCAAAATTTTTAAAAGACAATAAAATTCAGGTAATCACATTGGGCTTTGCGGATTTTTTAATGCCTTTGGAATGGAATAGAGATATGGGCTTAGGTCAATACCTCACAGCTGCCAAGATGCTGAGATATGGTAAGACAGATTGTGCCCTGCCCATGAATTGGGCAATTGAACAGGGAATATTCGTGGATGTCTTTATTGTTTTAACGGATAGCGATATTTCAATTAAATCTGTTAGTTTTTTTTTCTTCTTTTTTTTGTCAAATTATACAAAATCAAATTTAATAAAATTGAGAAATCCTTCTAATACTGAGAGAGTTAATTGTAACGCAAATATTTTTCATTTAAACGTTATGTAGTAGAGAAGCATGAAAATTTGAATGCTTTGGTCTCGAGCAATATATACTAAGATAAATGGTATTATCAGTTGTTTAAACCTTTTCACTTTGCTTTATTTTTTTGAAGGATAACAAAAGTAATGCACTAATTTTCCTCGTCTTTGTTTAATACATACGTATAATATATCAGAGTTATGGAAGTATCAATAACTGATTAATAATCAGTTAGATCCATCATTTGAATTTTATTTAAGATGAAACCATCAGATGCTATTCAGTTGTATCGCCAACAAATGGGTATGCCGGATGCAAAACTGATTATAATAGGAATAACCGATAAATTAGGATCTCTGGCTGATCCGACTGATCCAAATATGTTGGTTATTTGTGGCATAAATTCATCAGTACTTCAAGTTATCCATGATTTTGTTCTTAACTTTTAAACAATCATTAGTAACGCAATATAATTATTGTGTGCTTCATGTCGAATGCTATGCAGGACATCATCCTTTTTCATGTGCAAAAATTTGTTTTATAATTTGCAGTTATACTATTAATGTTTAATATTTGTGATTTTTTCTTTTAAAAATAAATTCACTTATTTTTATCCAAAAAACACCGATATCCTTCTATTTGGATGATATTATCATTAACTGTTTCTGAAAGCCTCGTCAAACTATAAGATTGAAACAAAGTAATCCATCTTAAAAAAAAGGACTTTAAGCACAGTATTTTTAAACTCTGAGAAGCTGAGATTTTAATGTAAAAAAAAAGGGAAATCATGCAGATTAAATAATCTTTGAATTTGTTGACACAATTGAAAGGTTGTTTAAATTGAGCAAAGAAGAATGTTCAGGTAACACATTCCTATTTGTTAGTTTTGCCTTCTTTCAGAAATTGAAAGGATTTAAACAAACACATTTTTTGCTGCTTGAGCATTACTATATGCTGCAACACCAAACACTTGCAAACACAACTGTTTGCTATAAATATTTCTACAAATACATACGCCTTGTATTGGCATTTATTTTACTTTTTTATTATTTATTTGCATCAATCGTCAACTTAAGCCTTAAAAACCTGATCAAATTTATCGTAACATAGAAAGCCATGGTTCTTGTCGACATGATTTGTAATATATTCTGAATATCGAAATAATTGTGGATAAATAACACTCGTTAGATTAATGCAAGTAAAAGTTGAAGTTGTAGAAAATTGTTTCAATTTAATTCAATTGTTTCGGTAAAATTTAGGTGAATTTCATTATCACTCCTGCTTACAAGGTAATTTTAAGGGAAATCTTTCTCTCTTTTACTCCTTTGGATTCCAATCCTAGCAAGTTTTAAATGAACATTCAAGATCACTATCAAAAACTGATTTCCGAATAGCACGCACTCTTATATCATACAAGCATTATGAGCACTACAACGGATGAACCACATCGTTTTCAAGCACGTTTAGTTGGTGAAAATTTTATTGAACTACCAGTGGAACAATTACGACGCATTGCAAATGTTAGCGGAGTAGATTCCATTGAACAAGAAACGAAACACTTTTCATGTGAGTTATTTCTTCTGTTATCAGTTGGATGATAATTTTAGAGGAAGGGTGATAATTAACAGAAAGTTCCATAATGGTCGTCTTGTAAGAAACAATTATAGACAGTACGACTTTACATGGTCCACTTCGACTCTATAAAGGAAAAGGACATGGAAAGATATTTTGGTGCTCGGTAATGTGTTCTGCCGCAATATTCTTATCACTTCAAATAAACATATTGGTAGCATATTTCATGTCACATCCAACCGTAACATCTATCACTTTTGTCCCTGCTGAAGTGCTTCCTTTACCCGCCGTAACCGTATGCAACTACAATCCAATCACCAAAAATTATGTCCAATGTAAGCTACTCTTCAATTATTTCAAATATCGGAATTTCTTAACCTTTTTTGAAATTATATATTTGGTATTATAATATATTGCTTTTTATTAGAACTGCGTGTGATTTTCGTGGAGCGATACGAGAGAGAAGCTCGTTTTCCCTCCCATTAAAATTTCTTTTCACACATCCCTTTGTTCATCTCAGCTAAATTTGAAACTGCTTCCATACTTTTTATAAATCAATTAATATCTAGCAAGTAGATATCTTACAGGTACAAATAGCTGCATTCAAATATAACTAAAGAATTTCGAGGTCATCGTATACTTGAAGGTTTATAGTAAGTTGTAAATATAAATTTAAAATAATTATAAATGAAATGTGAATTGTGCTAAATGCAGATTTAAATGAATCCAGTAGCGGTGCTGGCTATTTCACTCACGACTTATTGCGCTATATGATAATGGCTTACAGTGAAGTGGAAGATTTATATTTACATGCAAATAATGATACGATCGAACGAGGTCGACAAGCATATGAATATTTTCAAAGCGTTTTTACAGAATATCCATTCAATATTGAGAATTTCTTCGCACAAGCTGGGTATTAATATCTTTGCCCAATTTTTGGAGAATTTCATTATCTGGAAAAGCAGATTTTTCTATTTGCAGCATAAATACTTCAAATATAAAACATGTAAACGGAAATAAAATACTAGATCATTTTATAAATTCACACTGTTTCACTGAGAAATTATTTATTGTCACAGAATCATTACATCGTTTTGTTGGAAAGAGTACTGTTTGACAAAAGTGTTCACCCTTGACATTTTTTTCCAACTTCTATAGATTTCCATCGTGAAAAAGATGAAAGTCAAACATATTGGAAGGTACACTAAAAAATGATCGATGACAACCCGATGTAATGAGTCAAAATGGAACTTCCCTGATTTTGTTGTACTTGGTTAAAGTGTCGCAAATACAGCATTCGTTAAATGAGATAATGATTCGGTCTTTAATAATATATCCAAATCGTCTAAAAAGATAAAAAGACAAATTAATGTAAATCCGTAAAATCACGTATATTGGTAGTATTTAAAATCGTAGTTCATCTTATCAATTTTCTGTGATACAAAATTAAATTCAGGTTTTCTTGTCATGAAATGCTTAAAGTTTGTTCTGTGGGCGGCACAAAGTTAGACTGTTGTGCAATGTCTCGACAAGTACTTACCGATCTTGGTTCATGCTTTGTATTTTCTTTCGACGACATGAAATTAAATCAGACTCAACCAGGCATTTTCAATGGGTAAGTCCATTTTTTGTAAGAACACAATCTTCTATTTACTCTACGTAAAATTCAAATTCACGAATTAAGAAAAGAAATTGATAGGCTCAGAAGACATAAAGTTTAGCAACGGAAGTCAGGATTGACTAATCATACAATTAATAGACATTTTGAATAACTGGTCATCCTTCGTTCTTCAAAATTTAAAACTCCCTAAGCAATACCATTCAGAAAGACTAAAGAAAAAACAAGATGGTAAATAGCATCTGTTACTTTTGTATTTTAGAAACCTACAGAAGAAATTCATGATTTTGCGTGAAATTAATTGCTAGATAATTTTAGATTGCAACTGATATTGGATGCTGGAATAAATGATGCTATCACTGTCAATTATGCTGAAAAAGGTTGCTTCAAATTTTAACACTCATAAATATGAGCTGAAATTTGTTCAAATTTAGTTATCTTTTGTTTACAAGTTTGTTGCATAAATAAGAAATCTTTTTCAGGAAATAACCTACCAATTTTTTCTAACAATCTGGAAGATGGCTTTCGATTATATGTTCGAAGTGAAAATGAGTTAGCATATTCATATACAGAAGGCCTTTCAGTTTCACCTGCCTATCGTGCATACATTGCTTTGAATTTAGAAACTGTATGCTTTTCCTAGGAATTAAATTTCAATATTTTGTTCTACCAATTAAAATAAATTTTATTGTAAAAATTTTGTATATAATGATTTCAACATATGCTTTGGGATTTCTTCATTCTGTGCAGTTTTTTAAGTTTCATTTTCTCACTCCCGATAACTGGGGAAATTGTACGCATTCTTGGCCATTGGAATCGCCTCAGCGAGCATTTCGTCTACCATATACAGCTAAAAATTGTGCATCACTTTGTCAACAAGTAAATTTTTTTCTTTTATTATTCAGTATTTATTTCTCTCAAAATATGATTAACTTTGTAATGATAATGCTGTGTTTTATTAATTTATAGGACTATTTATTTAGATATATTATGAACAAAGAATTAATTGCACTCCACTATTATACAGCGTTGGCGATGGTTAGACATTAAAATTTTCAGTTTTCATTCATTTGCTTACTTATTTTAAATATTTGCTCAATTTTAAATGCTTTCTCAATTTGCACTTAATATTTTTAGCTCATCTGAATACCTGTACACCAAGCGAACTGCATACATTCATGCTTGAAGGTAATTGCTCCAATTTCCAGAATTCAAGCTCTTTTAAACCGACACTTTCATATAACTGCTTTTTTTTCATCCGGTAAAGTAAATCGTCGTATTTGAAATTTTTCATTTCTTCTTAATCTAGAAATCAGTTCTTGATAAATTCAGTTGCTGATCGGACAAATAATATTAATGGCCCTGAATGTGCAGATAATATCTGTCCAACGTCATGTGTAACTCATGAATATAAAGCATCGATAACTTATGGATATGGATTTTCTGAAAGTGCTATGGATTGGCTAACAAACATTAATAATAAGTGGACTCAGAAGCATATCAAGGATGTTTTATAATTATAACTTTTATCCAATAATCCTTGAACTGTTATAAATCATAAATTCATTGAATTTTTTATGGATTTATTAGAAAAATGATTTGTACCGTAACTTTTGCAGGGAAAATTTTGCTGTAGTCAATATCTTTTATCGCGAAATGTCTTATTTACTGAATGAACAGATGCAGTCAACATCATTGGTGGATGTATTAAGTAATAATTTTGATATCAAATAATTGTAATATGATTACATCATCACTAAGGAAAAATCCTAAATGTTAAGTACATAAAGTGTTAAAAAGTCATTTGTTACTTTAACAGGATACTGAAATTTAATTTTCAGATAAATTCTATTTTTTAGGTAATATTGGAGGAAATATGGGATTGTTTTTTGGAGCAAGTGTAATAACAGTCATTGAATTAGTTATATTTTTATCTAAGCTAGTTTGGATTGCATTTTCTAGTCAACGTCGTGAATACATGTTCCATAAGCGTCAAAAGGAACGTGATCGTGAGCAGCGTCTTACAACAGTAATAAATACTGCTGCCGTAAGGCTTTACACTCTATATAAATCAAAATTTCCTACTTTACATTCATCCTAAATTCAAATTTAAACGTTGAAATGTTTTTCCATCCTCACGAAATATAAAAATTGACTATATGAGTTGCAGCATGCGAGACGAAGTTGTGATGGAACGGCACAAACTGAGCAGGAGGAAATCATCCATAATCTGACGAATACAATTTAAAATGTGATAAAAGTCGGAAAGTGATAGTGTCTATCTCAACTACTGATTAAAGTGATTGTTGTGAAACTTGGATTGAACGTGGAATGGGATTACCTGGTTTAGTTTGAGTTGATTAGTTTGTTGGATGATTGGCTGATTGGTTGTTGGTTGATTGGTTGGTTGGTTGGTTGGTTGGTCGCCAGACTCCTCAGTAGATTGCTCGTTGGTTCAACTCTTCGGTAGGTTGATTGTTGATCAGACTGACCGGTTATCCGGATCGTTGCTGTCTGTTCCGACTGCTCGGTTGATAGGTTGATTAGTTGGAATCAGACCGCCCGGTAGGTTGCTTGATGATCAGACACCTGCTCACCTCCAATCCGGTCCTTTTATATCCTAGACATTTGTTCAACTCTTCAGTAGGTTGATTGTTGATCAGACTGACCGGTTACCCGGATCGTTGCTGTCTGTTCTGACTGCTTGGTTGATAGGCTGATTAGTTGGAATCAGACCGCCCGGTAGGTTGCTTGATGATCAGACATCTGCTCACCTCCAATCCGGTCCTTTTATATCCTAGACATTTGT